TGTCGGCGATATCTTCGGTGTTGCTACAGCTGTGTAGTTCAGGTGGACACGTGGTGACTTCACAAAATATTTTAATTATACTCTTCAAACATATTATTATTGTATTTTAATTTGTATCGAAAATATTGAATTCATGCGCAGTTCAACTATAGCTAATAAGTTACATGGACTTGTGCAGGTGGACACGTGGTGGCTTCACGGACGCTCTACGGTGGGACACACGCCTTGCTTACTCATTTCTTGCCGAGGGCTTGTAACATAACGACGTCGTTTGTGGACATAAGGGATTTGCAAATGGTTAAGGAAGCGATTGTGGAAGGGAGGACAAAAGTACTGTATTTTGAGTCGATGTCGAATCCTACGTTGACGGTGGCTAACGTGCCGGAGTTGAGTAGGATAGCGCATGAAAAAGGAGTGACGGTGGTGGTGGACAACACTTTTGCTCCGATGGTGCTGTCGCCGGCGAAGTTAGGTGCTGACGTGGTTGTTCATAGTATTTCCAAGTACATTAGTGGTGGAGCCGACATCATCGCAGGTTTGATTTTTCTTCTTAGTTTTTGTCGTCCTTAATTTCAGTGACATCACACGTGTGCCTTTCGTCTAGATAGAAGTAATAAATCATCATTTTTGCCCCCAAGAAAAATAAAAAAGATCAGTCAGTAATCTCAAAGTAACTCATTAGTAAAACCATTTTTGCCAATTGTAATTTAAAAAAAAAAAAAAAAAGTTCGTATCTTATCGAAGTTGTTATGAGAATACTATTTTCCTAAGTTCTCTTTTACTAGTCTCTATTTATACTAAAAATAAAAATTCTCTTTTACTTATCCATAGTATTAGTAAGTACCTGTACTCGGGGCGAAGTTATGTATGTCCAAGCAGGTAAAACAATAAGTAAAACAGAAATACAAGAAAAAATCATTAAAAGTGACACCACTGGTAACAAAATAGCTTTGTAGTCTAGTGGTTGACAGCTTCAAGTTTGCTACGAGAGGTCTTGGGTTTGACCTTCCTGGGCTCCACAAAATATTTTTTGATTGTTACTTGCCTTTTACTAAAAATTGCGACACCACTTATAAAAAATTCTGCGTACGCCACTGTCCAAGGTGGTTAATTGAACACCATTACAACTTCTTATAGAGTAACTTGGAACCCGAATAACTTATAGTAACAGAGTTTTGATTCGCGAGAATGGGTGCTGGTGCTCCCCAATAGAAAATAAGAATTAAGAAAAAAATTAGCTCTAATATTCGTTAATAAATTTTTATTTATTTATTTTGTCTTATGAAGAGGATAGTGTTATGGACATTTTAAGTTTCTCTCTTTATTAGTATTATTATTTATATGCACGTGTTGTTCTGTATGTTTTAAAAAGAAAACTGAAGTTAGTGGCAAGATGAACCAGTCATGATTATTTTTCTACTTATGGCAACTGTTAATATTTTTTCCAAATGGATAATTAAGGCTCCAATTAAGGCTCATTGATTTCTTGATCTACACAAGATAATTTTTTTTTCCCTTAATGGCTTTCTTAAAACTAAGTAATTAAACTTTAGAAGGTAGAGTTTAATATTTTCCCCAAAGACTTATAATGGTTTTGTTAAATGTTCCTATCTAAAGAGAAATGTTCTAAAAGGTGATAAACTTCTTTGACATTATTGAAAGGTTGGAAAGATTTAAGGACAATGTTTCATCACGTGTGATTTGGTGCTTTTACATTATTAATTAGATGAAGATGACTTTGGAGATAAGATTTCACGTGTTTTCTCAATTGGATGGAATTGATACCTTTTTTTTTTTTTTTTTTTTTGTTGGTATAAACTTATATTTGTGGTTGGAAATTAATTTGAAACAAGAAGTTTACAAATGTCCCATTAGTCCGGAATGTCCCATTAGTGAAATGTACCTACTTAAAGGTGATCACATGTGTTCTAAATTATTTATTTTCATTACTCCCTCGCTCCACAATAAGTGACTAATTTACTTTTTATTTTGATCAAAAAAAGTGTTCATTTATATAATTAAGAAAAAATTTAATTTATTTTTTACAAATACCCTTACGTACATATTTTTAAAAAGTTTTTTTACATCTCATATTAAATATTTAATTAAGGATAGTTAATTATACTAGGTATTTTTATATAGAATTTAATATTTTTTAATGGACGTACCAAAAGTAAATTGGTCACGGACCAGAAGTCTTATTATTAATAATAATAGGCCTTAGGCCTTATCGTTATCAGTACTTGTCAACTTTTGTCTTGGTTACTTTATATTATAACACGTGGCTTCTGCACTAAGCAAAATGTGAACTCGCTATAAATGAAGATCTTCATAATTGTTATAATTTTGTCTTGTTATATTTTAGCTCTATTCCTAGGGGAATATTACTTCGAATCTATATCAGACATGGTATATTTGGTTGATCTAGATAGTACTACGTGAAACTATGCATGTTTTTTTTCGATTATGACTGGATTCAGAATCTTATCAAAGATTCATTTTCAATTAAACAGAAAAATATCGTTTTCTTTGGGTAGGTAGCCCGTAATTAACGAGACAGAAAAATAAAAAAAGAATAATTAGAGCCATCTTTTATTTGTGTAGCTATCTTAAAACATTCTCTAGCTAGCTAGGTCTTCTATATACATTGAACTGAAAAAAACATTATTAATATATGAATTAAGTAATAATTATGGACTAAACCATACTAAAGACAGAATAAAGGAAGGTGGGGCCAAACATTTTTTTGGGTTTATTCCATACTCTTTGGGTAAATCTTGTCTGTAAATAATATTGCAAAGTGTTCTCTTTCGATATATTAATCACTGATCAGCACAAGAATAAACTTAATTTTTATACACGACAGATCTGATCTTATTGCATGATTAGATGGATTATGCATGATTAAATATGATTTTCCAGTATATTATTAAGACCCACACCTCTATTAGCATAAAAACTTACCTGTACCGGATGTTTACCAAACCAATAAATACATGACATGTATCTTGTACATTGACTTAAAGCACCTAACTATGGTGAATTATATGCATTCTTATCTAATTATATCACTTAAACATGATGTATTTAATATGATTTGGTGTAACCATTCGGTCCATATCTAGTTATCACTTAAACATGATGTATTTAATATGATTTGGTGTAAACATTCGGTCCAGGTAGGTATCTACCCCTCTATTAGCAATTTTTATTGGTCTAATGGCATCTACTTTTGTAATGATTTAGGATTTTGTCTGAGAGTTAAGCAAATTGATTAATTAAAAAAAAAGTAAATTGTTTAAAGTATTGGTAAGATAAGGTAATGCGGATAATTAATAGCCTATCAGATTTATTGTTTCCTTTTCCCAGCCGGTATATATAAATTATACATTGATTATACATGGTTATCCACATAGTATTAAACTATGATTATACAACAACAACAACAACAACAACAATGACCCAATATAATGCAAACCTTACCCCTACCCCGAAGGGTAGAGAGACTGTTTTCAGGAGACCCTCGGCTCAAAAAAGTAACAAGAGACGATATATTAGTACCATAAAAATGCATAATAAAATAACAGCAATATAAGAGATATGAAATACAGAATACGAAATACGAAATAGATGGCTGATATAGTAAAAACTAGTAGGTAAAGCCCTGTATCAATAGACGACCAATGACATTCTTAGTACATATTTTATATTATACATCTACTAGTTATTCTTAATTAAGTGGTTGTGAAGGCGGCTATTTAGGTTGATTCTTCTTAATTTTAATTTTAATTTTTGGTAAAATTACACAGGTGCCGTTTGTGGGCCAGCAAATCTTGTGAACTCCATGATGGATCTTCATCAAGGGGCTCTTATGCTATTGGGCCCAACTATGAATCCTAAAGTAGCATTTGAACTCTCAGAAAGACTTCCTCACTTGGGCCTGAGAATGAAGGAACACTGTAAACGGGCTTTGGAATATGCTACTAGAATGACTAAACTTGGGCTCAAAGTGATCTACCCAGGCTTAGAGGCCCACCCAGATCATACCCTTCTTAAGTCCATGGCTAATAAAGACTATGGTTATGGTGGAATTCTCTGTGTGGACATGGAAACAGAGGAACGAGCTAATCGTTTGTTGAATGTATTGCAAAACTTTACCCAATTTGGTTTCATGGCTGTGAGTTTGGGGTACTATGAGACCCTCATGTCGTGCTCGGGTTCGAGCACGAGCAGTGAATTGAACCATGAAGAGAAGGAGTTGGCTGGAATTTCACCAGGATTAGTGCGAATGTCAATTGGCTATAACGGGTCATTGGAACAAAAATGGAGCCAACTCGAGAAAGCATTATCAAGAATGCAAGAGAAAATGGCATTTTAGAAGCTGAAAATTTGAATTTGTTAAAGTTGCTAAGGTGCTTTTGTTTTTGCTTTGTGAAAGGATGGATCCTACTTTTTATGTAGTATTGTGCCTTTCGGCCCATGTTTGTGTTACAAATGTGGTGATTGTAGTAAAGCTAGTTTTAAGCCCAATCTAAGTCAAAATGTGGCTAAAATGTGAAGGAAGAATACAATATGTGTGACCCTTAAACGAATTATCCACTTTGTTCATGTGGTGTTGGTGTAAGCAACCTTCACTTCCAACTAAGAGGTTGTGAGTTCGAGTCTCCCCAAGAGCAAGGTGGGAAGTTCTTGGAGGGAAGTATGTCGGGGTTTATTTGGAAACAACCTCTCTACCCCAGGGTAGGGGTAAGGTCTGCGTACACACTACCCTCCCCAGACCCCACTAAGTGAGATTATACTGGGTTGTTGTTGTTGTTGTTCATGTGGTGTTCCCACTTCCCTGTATTATAGATTGTTTTATGTAATGAATTTAGGGATGAAAAACTAGTAGATTATATAATTATGCATTACTAATATAAAGCATGGTATCTAGAATAACAGTATCACTAATCCAACTCTGCATTAAAAAAAATGCAACTCTTAGTTTATTTTTCTTAGTCTTGGACTTTTTTAATTAGATAAAACTTAAGTAATATTCATTGATAATATACAGGTAACTATACAGTTCACCTTGCCCCAGAGTTCTTGTGAAGACCTGGTGGTGCATGTGTATGATAGGGCCCCCCATAAGCGCCAAAGATCGGTGATGTTATCATAATAAGTGTGGGAAGTCGATAGTGTACTCGATGATTGAAGGACCTATCGACTTGCATTATCACATAGATTATTTGCTACAAATAAACTAAATTTATAAATTAAACTAAATGTATTTTATTTATTGGCAATTTTCTTTTTCATAAAAGAGGAATAATATATACATGTGCTATTAATCTCGATAATGTTTTTTGTTAGTTTTATTAATGTTTCTTTTGTGCGGGTAAATTTACTAGTATCCGTATAATCTTGGGGAATAAGTGTGTTGATATGCAAGATGTTAGTATTTCAGAGAATGTATAAAGCCATAGATAATGATAACTACGCCTCACTTTGAAATGTATTATAATTTACACCATAATTTTTATCCTTGTGTTACATTTCATGTATTTAATATCGGTTTACGTCACGTATTGTTTTTTTCTTCTAGTCAGATATATGATGGCACACTAAGCTAAGTTGATTAAATTTACCTAAAAAATTATTAATAATTTTTTTGTCATTTTTGAAGCTTAAATTGTTTCCCCCTTTTTTTTTCTTTTTTTTTTTTATAAATGAAATATTGATTAAATCCTCTTATTCTTTTTTCTAGCAAAAAGCGAGAACCTTTTGCATAAAAAATCAAAGTTTGGTAGTTATCCTGTTTGTGAGAAAACAAAAAGGAAAAAGTAAAAATTGCACGGGGCGCCCTATTTGTTAGCTCCCATTTAACCTATACCTATTTTTTTTAAAAACTTTTAACTTGTACCCGCTTTTTAAACAACTTCAGCTCCCTTTCTCCTCCTTCTTCATTTTCTTTTTTCTTCTTCTACAACGATGACTTCAACATTGCTCTCTTTGATTAATGAAGCTAAATCAAATATACTGAGGACTTTCGTTTGGATTATTATAACATTAAAAAAAAGTTTCCTCATTGTCTAGAAACACAACTCCGTCATGTAAAAGGTTTGGAACTCCTTATCTATGCTTTGGAACTGCCAAAGTAACTGGTAGTACTAGTTTTTTTTCTTTCTTTTGTGCGATTTTGTAAAATTCTTTTTAGCTATCACAGAATTTTCATATGGACTACCATTTTCTGTGCAGGTGCAAAAGTTCTCTTCTTTTTGGCCATTTCGAAGTTTTCGATAACTCCAAATTCCAATAAATGGATTGAATTGGGATTCCCATTTACAAAGACAAAAACTTTAGCTCTAGAGCTGAAGCTTTCCCAGTTACAATACAAAAACTTCAGCTCTAGAGCTGAAGTTTCCAGTTACAACACAAAATCTTGATTTCTGGAAGAGAAGTAACGTTGTAATTACTCGTGCTGCTTTGATTCTTCGACATAGGTTTGTCTAACCATACAAATCCACGCATTTTATTTGGCTTCCACCATAATTTTACGTACTCTTTTCTATAATTCCATGTAGTACGTGACGATCCAATGCCAAAAACAATATGGTGGAGCTGAGTTTTTTCTGGGGTTTGGATAGTGTTTGACTGGTTTTCTTCGTTAAATCTAATAAAAATACCTAAAGGTTTTTGGGTGGACGTGAATGGAGGGTTTACGAAAATAGGAGAGTAAAAAACGTATAAAAGACAAAAGAAAAAGATGAAGGTGATCATGATTCTCGGAAGTACAGTTTCCCAGTGAAATTTACTAGTTACAACACAAAAAATTCAGCTCTAGAGCTGAACTTCAGGCACGGCTATTAGAATGTTTAAGTTTTGTGTGATTGTCTTTGCTACTTCAGCCCCGCATGCTGAAATTATGCGAAAAAGCGGCTACGCTTGTAATTTTTTTTGCAAAACGGGTACAAGTTAAAATGTGACACAAAAAGCGGATATAGATGCAAATGCATCGAGAAAAAGAAGCTAATTGGACTTCTTTGGACTTGATTTTGCATGGCCCAACTATCAGTCGACCCAAAAGCCCAGCCCAATTAAAAGAATTAACCCTAGCCCAACGCCTTTCCATCCTCTAGCTATAAACCCTACATATAAATCTGTTAGCAACAGAAGAGGAGCTGCATAGAAGACGAGTAGAAGATTGTTGGTGAGGGGCGGAGAAAATGCAGATCTTCGTGAAAACTCTGACCGGTAAAACTATTACCCTAGAGGTTGAATCCAGTGACACTATTGACAATGTCAAGGCCAAAATTCAAGACAAGGAAGGTTTGTTTTTTACTCTATATTCAAATTCAATTAATAACATAATTGGTTTTTATTTTCTTTCTATCATATAGCTTAACTGAACTTGTGTATATGTCTTTTGGTGCTATAGGAATTCCACCGGACCAGCAAAGGCTGATTTTTGCTGGTAAGCAGCTTGAAGATGGCCGTACCCTTGCTGACTATAACATTCAGAAAGGTATATTTTTTTTAAAATTGCTTGTTAATTTAGCTAAAAGTTGAAGTTTTTTTAATTGAATATTAATTTTGGATGTGAAAAATTGCAGAGTCGACTCTGCATTTGGTGCTGAGGCTTCGTGGTGGAATTATTGAACCATCTTTGATGGCTTTGGCTAGAAAGTACAATCAGGACAAAATGATTTGCCGCAAGTAGGTCTTTAATGGGCCCTTATGATTTGTCCCTATTTATATACTTCTCTTTTTGTAATGTTTTTATTCTAATAGCGCTTTTCCTTCGATTATCTGTTAGTACTACTATTCTATTACTGATGTTAGTGCACTATTTAGCTAAGCTCGGAAGAGACATTGATTAGATATTTATTTTGTTCAAAACTGAAACATTATTGGAGTAAATTGCCTTGCAATTTCAAGGTTTCCGAAACTTCCTTCTAAATATAAACAGTGTAAAGTTCAAGCTCCTGAGTCTTTCAAAAACAATTAGGGGGTTAAAGTGCAAGTTATCTCTTTAATGCATCCTTTTTGCTTACTGTTATAGCTTTGTCTGTTAAAATAGATGAAAGTCTCCTTGTCTTCTAAGGAAATGCTTGTCTTAATAACAATGATTTTACAGTTTTAACAAGATTGATTAGACTGCTAAGTGACTTTTGATCCTTATGCCCTTAGTAAATAGTTTTGTAGTATTTTTTCTTCTTAAAGAAATAATGATCTAACACGAGAAAGTGATATGAACTGAAATTACCAGTTTGATAGATTAGTTGGTTGAGGAAGAAAAATTTCTGAAAAAGCTGGCACTATTGCCCCTTTCCTTCTTCTACATTTGGTTGAGATAAAAAAATGCAGCGAGTGTTTACACAAGTGTACATTTCTGTGCTGCTGGCATTCCTAGCTAGGAACATTATGCATCCATTAGTTGGTTGAACATGTTCGAATAATGTATCTTATGCATATTTCTCAAATCATCAACGATCCAGGGGTCAGGGGTGATGACTAATATAATTGACCACTGATGCACTGTCCACTGGATTCAACCTCACATGATTTACTGCAATGCCCCTGCTGCCTTTAGATTTCTCTATAGTCCATTGTTGAATCCTGCATACTTTCGTCCTAACAAAATCTTTGACATGGAACTCCTTGTTAGTCGTATTGAGCCTGCCCTCATAAACAGCAGGAGTAGTGGCTTGGTTGAATTTAGGGCAACGATGATTTTTTGAACTAGTATATTAATATGGTTACCTAGTAGATAAGTTATTTCTTAGATTATTTTGAGAGTAACCATGGCCCTCTGCCTTAAATAACCTTTAACTATATGTCCCCTTAATAAACCATTGTAGCAATGATACTGCCTTAAATAACCTTTACTATATGTCTACTCAGTAACGTACTATAGCAATGATACCTAAACTCCTAAGGTTGTTGAATATTTTTATATCCAACAACCTTAATTTTGATAGAACGTTAAAGTACTTTCCACAACATCCATCTATGGTTACTAAGAACCTTGAAATATCTTGCCATCTGCTATTTTCTTCATTTGAAATGTTCATTAGTCAAAGTGAGACAATCGAGAATTAAGTGGACCTGCTGATGTACCTGTAAATGTGTTTAATAGCCTCTGGCTGTAGAAAAAAAATAATGGTGTCAACCTGAAATTTTGTTTTCTTTTAACTAAAATACATGTTTGTCTCTCTAATGCTTTCCCTTATTTTTAAAGGTGCTATGCTCGTTTGCATCCTCGTGCTGTCAATTGCCGCAAAAAGAAGTGTGGCCACAGCAACCAGGTTCATTTCATCAAACTCTTCAATGCACATATTATTTATTAACTCCTATCAGTGACTGCAGACTGACTTCTATCATTTATTTGGCTTTGCAGTTGAGGCCCAAGAAGAAGATCAAGTAGATGGTGATTTTGAAGTCCTGGCAACATGTAGCTGCTAATGTTGAGATCCTTAAGAAATTATTAGATATGTTGTTGGGTTGCCTGTTCAATTTACTCTAAAACATTGAAGTATTTGTGTTTGAGCTATATCAAAGATTTTGAGATACTTTCGTATTTCTTGATGAGCTAGATTCTATTGGTTACATTAGTATAAGCTTTGCTAGATGTGTAGTTATATATGCGCTTTCATCCTCTGCTATTTCGATTAGTCTTTCTCTCTGTTATGTTTGCTGAAGTGAGCCAAGAACATAAACAATAGCAGCACAAGTTAAAGTTGATGTTGACAACATGCAATGGTTCACTAATGGATGTTTATGTGTATGTGCTAAAGCATGTATCATTCTGTCTTTACATCCTGCTGATCACATCAGAGTAAAAATATGGATGTGACTATTGCATCTGAAGAGTGATTCCCAATTGTAACAGCTCATTGTAAAATTATACATGTTCATTTTGGCCTTGTTGACCTTATAGTTTTGTCCTCTTAGTTATGGAGAGGAGTAAAAAGGCTAAAGTACAATTGTCCTTTTTTTTTTTAAATTTTATTTTAATGTGGGACTTTCTTCTTGGATCTCCTCTCTTAGTAAGTTTGCTGGCTTAGAAGATTGCCCGTTTGGGCATGCTCTCATCATTTCGCCCTTCACGGGTAAAACAAGCTGACCAGCTTTTGCTGTGCCCTTCCATGAACCAATTGTATTGAAATAATCACTCAAGTGAGAAAGAAAACTTGGGAAGTCAAGGAAACAATGCAAAAGTATTATACTTATCTAAAGCCTGCATGTTTGTGATATTTTAAATTTGAGGATCAAATAAATTTAGGGTGAAGAATGTAACACCCTGACCTTTAAGCTTGTAATCTATGAATTTGAACATGTTATGACCTTTGCTTCCATTGAATTTGGATAGTGGGATAATGAGATGATATGGAACCAAAAGGAAGAAAAGGCATAAATTTGGTTGCAGAGGCCCATGTATCAGAATGTGGCGCAAAAACATAGTTAAAGTCATCGTGTTGTGGAAAATCCACCCAAATTGACAAACTTAGTGGCAGTATTGATACATTTAAACATCTTCTTGTTTAGTGGCACAGCTTCATTGACCCATCTGTTTAGGTGACAAACCATTTTTGTTTTTTAGGAAACTAAAACATCATGGCAGTATATACAGCTGTACATATGGCAGTATAGCAGTACACATGTAAAATGGACTCACATTTTACCTTATGGTATATGCTTTGTGCTTTATGATTATTTATCTGTATCTTCACTTGATCTAATTCTGTGTTTTCTTATTAGAATCTACTATCGGGAAGCAAGATACAACCATTTTGCTACTCTATGTTTATGAGTATGACTTTGTGTGCACCTCCACCCACGACCGTTAGGTCCTGTGTTCGAGTCACACTGGAGGGGAAGTGTGGAAACACGGTAGAACCTTTGAGGCGTGGCTACAAAATTGGCAAGTTACACAGCAAAGTTCTATACTAAAACTCCCACAAGGGTGATCTACAATCAGAATCATCAAGAAATGTTCTTGACTCAAAGTTACACTCGTTCTCGATTTCTGATAAACCATCAGCTATTTGAGCCATGTTTAGAATATCAGATTCTGGCCCCAAGTAGTCAATTTCCCTACTGTCTTCACCTAAAGGTAAGCCAAATTCAGGGCTGCAAGTTTCTGGTATGAACTCTGACTTGATCACCTCTGTTTCTAATTTATTGCCTTCATTCTGAATCTCTTCATTGCCACCCTTTTCAGTTAACTTTCTAAGTCTCTGCAACTGTAAAGATAAAGAAAATTCTAGTATTAGCTTTTCTAACTCAAAAAGGAAAAAGGCAGCCCTCCGCAGGATTCGGGAAGGGTCTATCGTACGCAGCCTTAACCAGCATTTCTGCAAGAGGCTGATCCCATAGTTCGAACCTGTCAAAAAGGATTTAAATAAATTACCTGGATGAGGAGGGATTCATTCTCTTTTTTGAGCATTTCATACTTTGAACCAAGGTTATCATAACTGATTTTAAGCATTCTATACTCCATCTCAAGTTGCTTGGACTTTGATCTAGCTCTCTTGTTCTGAAACCATATAGCAACTTGGCGCGGCTGTAGGCCTAAGCTTTTAGCCAACTGCTGTTTTGTTCTCAGTTCAGGCCTTGCCTCTGTCTCAAACATGTGTTCTAATGACCGAATTTGCTCGTCGTTGAATCTTCTTCGCATGTTGTCCTTGCAATTCTTAATACTTGACATAGAGTGTAGATTTAGATCCTTTCCTAATAAGGATGATTGACTCCACATGTTGGAGTTTGTTGGATGCCTTTCTCCTACAGACATTCTTCTCTTCCTTTGTTTTTTGCTCTGATATTCAAGATTGCATGATTCATAATAATGTGCTTATTAAAATATATACTCAGTTTCTATATTTGGTGGACCATCAGCTGGTTTTAGTAATGACAAAATAAAGACTAGGTGTCCAGTTTTGGTGTGTTAATGTGTATCTTATAACTGGCCCGCTATATGGTACACTTGTTAAATTCTTTCTCTTATCCTCTTAATATAATTGACACTTGAGAAAAAGAGAAAGGGATGTTGGATCTTTCTTGATCTTTTGCAGAGGGAATTAGTAATTCCTTTTATAGGATTAAGGTAAATTGAATCTTTAGAATGTACTTGAGTCGTACAGTATAATCATGAGCCTTTTTAGTAGCTTGATTATTATTTGACTCTCTTTTGATTACAATCGTGGTGATCTAACTTATAACATCTGACGTGCATAATTAAGAAGAATTTATCCCATGTTTAGTTGGGAAAAAATTACGGTATAATTAATCTCGGTAGTAGTTATTCTGGAATTGTAATATTTTTTTATCCCCATAAAGTGGTGAAATAACTAATCTCTAGATAACTAATTCTAAAATAATTTATCTTGGGATAACATCTTTCCAACCAAACAACCCCTTAAAAGGTACTATTTTCTGTTTTTACCTTTTCATAGTTTTCTAGTTTTATACACTTTGAAAGACATATTCTTAGTGTATGTAATATAGTGACAAGTTCTAGTTAGTGTTCTTGGAATACTAGGGATAATAGGACCTGAGTCATGCCTTTTTACTGTCAGGGACAGAGGTAGTATTGACAGTACCGATTCGGCCGAAACCAATCACTTTAGTTCAAATCTTATAGTACTTGTTTTAAAATTATTTAGGACCTGTTTGGCCATAGATTTTGACAAAATATATTTGAGATTTTTTTTGGCAAATATATGTTTTGCCATAAATTTATCTGCAATTTAGCAAATTCCCAAAACCAGCTGGCCCAAAATATCACTAATACGTTTTTTTAAAATTTGCCCCAAATTTTTATATTTTATAAAAGAGTTCGCCATTTATTATTTTGTAATAATGCTGCTTTGTTTTCTTGCTCATCTGATAGTGTGTTATGTAGTTCATCATAAATATGATAATTTTGTACCAAATTTACTTATGTTCAGGACTATGGTTTGCGATAAATGTTACTCCTTAATAAAGGTACTATTGGGTGTTTTGTGATAGTTTTTAGAACTTGTGGGTATGTCATGTTTCATTTTTTTTTAAAAAAAAAAGTGAAATATATTTTGAAAACTTATGTCCAAATACATTTTCATCTTCAAACCAAACGTCAACCAAATTAGATTTTTCAAAACAAATTTGGGAATGTATGGCCAAACGCTAGCTTAGTATGTATAAATTTTTAATTTAGAACTCATAAATTTTAAATTCTAGCTCCCCTTAGGTTACTGTACATCTATATAATGGAAAAATGACACTGCTCTAAAAATAATAGCCGAAAAAATATATAAAATTTGTATATTTTTTAATATATATACATTTTGTATGTTATATACAAAAATTATATATATTTTATACACTTTTTCGGTCAGTTTCTGGCGCGTACTAAAAGTGATAATATCCCTAAATTAACCCCAAAATACTCATTATTCTATAATGATACAACAATCCAGTATAATCTCACTTAGTGGGGTCTGGGAAGAGTAGTGTGTACGCAGACCTTACCCCTAGCCTAGGGTAGAGAGACTGTTTCCAAATAGACCCCCAACATCCTTCCCTCCAAGAACTTCCCACCTTGCTTTTGGGGAGACTCGAACTCATAACCTCTCGGTTGGAAGTGGGGGTTGCTTACCCTATTCTATAATGATACTATATGATAATACTATCCTCTATAGTTCAGGTCCGGACAATATTTTCCCTTTCTACTTCAACATGGAAAGACCAAAGGAAGACCATATTTGACACTTTGTATAAAGGGATTGGAAAATGGGAGTGCTAAGGATAATTGCGTGGGACATAAGCAAAGATATTCTGTCCCATAGGAAATAATAACCAATGGTATAAAGCCACTTTCCACTTAGATCAACACGTAAACCTACTTACGTGGTCTTATCTTTTGTGTTTAATATTCCAAAATTGCTTTTCATAAATTCCATTTTCTTTTGGGAAATTGATAGTGCAGTGAACTAATCTTTCAGATTATAGCAAGTGTCCTATAGCTAGTGTGAATCCCGTGTGGCGTAGTGTCGGGGGAGTCTTTTTTTTATATTTTTATATATTGAGGTTCGATTAAATTTAAATTTGCGAAAAAAAGTTTTATATTGAAGGTAACGAGCTTCCTAATAAAAATAATTTCATGTTCAAAGTTCGAACCCGAAACCTCTAGTTAATCATAAACTAATACATACCACTCTATCACGGGAGAAATTCAAAAATAGTCAGATTTACAAGTTTATTCAAAAATAGCCACAATTTTAAAAGTAATCGAAATTTAGCCACTTTTCATATAAAGATAAATCTGAATGAAAACACTGTTCAAAATCCTGAAAATACTCCAGTAAAATATACTGAAAGTCCAATATATTATACTGGTGTTACACGGGTGCTCCAATCTCCAATATATTATGCTGAAACTTTCCGTGTGTTGGAGTTCTAGCATAATATGCTGGAAGTTCATACACAGGTACATCAGTCTCCAGTATATTATGTTGGAACTTTTCGTATTGCAGCAAAATAATAACTATTTTTCAATGACTTTGCAAACGCTAGTTATTTTTGAATGACCAGTCCGAAAACTGGTTGGCCGTGCTATTTTTACATCTATCACAACAGTCTTGTTGCTTTAGTTTTCACAATATAAGTTGTGTTTGAACATCAGCTGTCAATTAAGGACGAGCCAGATGTTCATACTAGAATGCACAAATAGTTTTGTTGTTTTCTACACTGTTACTTCGTGGAGGCAGTTGTCCTGTCGTCATGAATATAATACTCGTTTTCTTGAATGATTTGGATTTGACATTAGTGTTCTTTTAGGATGGAATTCCTGCTCTCGATTGTCTTAATTCTTAGTTCAATTCAAATTTAGATTAATCAGGTCGATTGTGTATATCTGATGATAAAACAAAAAAAAAACTATATACTGTAGGATAGAGTAAAATACAAAAAGGAAAAAGACTTTTGGTGGAATTAGAATCTTAAAAAAAAATTAGTATGTAGTACCTTAGTCCCCATTATTTGATTTTGGTCTCGGAATTAGATACATGAGACTCTGTCCTCACTCGAACTCGAGCCTTAGATCCATCATACATGTCCTTAATAGCCCTAATATATGTATGAGGAACACCTCTAGTCTCCAAATATCTCCACAGAACCTCCCTTAGCACGTTATCATAAGCCTTCTATAAGTCGATGATCACGATATGTAGATCTCTCTTTCTCTCCCTACCTCCTAACAAGCTGAATGGATTCCGTAGTCGAACGTCCCTGACATAAATCCGAACTGATTTGGTCCAACTAGTTTAGGCGTGATGTGTAGGCGGTTGATTGTAAATCGAAACTGAATAATGAACATGATGCATTTGAGACCCAATCAATTCTTATCGAAGTACAAAAAGTTGGGGAAATGCACAAACAATCTTTCTTATGGCTGCCTAAATAGTCAGTACTTATTTTGTCATGAAAATTTGAAATAAAAATTTTAATTTTAGGAATATTTAAGATATTTATGTCCTAAAAAATTGAATTGAAATACTGAAATTTAGAATACATTGGCTAATTCTTAAATATCAGTCCTTTAGAATGGCTACCTGGTGTCATTTTTGTAAATATAGCACGGGTTAGTCAATTTTCGAACTGGTCATTCAAAATAGCCAGCGTTTGCAAAGTTATTGAAAAATAACCACTATTTTGCTGCAACACGAAAAATTCCAGACTGGAGATTGTTTCACCTGTGTATGAGCTTCCAGCATATTATGCTGGAACTCCAACACACGGAAAATTCCAGCATAATATATCGGAGATTGGAACACCTGTGTATGAACTTCCAGCATATTATACTTGACCGGTATTATATTGGAACTCCAGCATATTATGTTGGAAGTCCAGTATATTATACTGAAATTCCAGTATATTATGCTGGAGTATTTTTCGAATTTTGAATAGTATTTTCGTTCAAATTTATCTTTACACGAAAAGTGACTAAATTTCGATTATTTTTAAAACTGTGGCTATTTGTGAATGACCAGTTATAAATTTGGCTATTTTTGAATTTCTCCCGTCATTTCTACCATAAAGTTGGGTAAAGCCCACCAAGTATCGCTCTGATTTCTGGGCCAATTGCATCTCCATTGTTGCTGGGTTAGTAGTCTTGGGCTCCCTGAGAACTAAGCAGATCCAACTAGAGCTGCAACCCTCGTCACTGGGAGAGAAAATTTATAGTAGGGAAGATGACATTGTATAATCGCTCTTGAAATAATAGCCAAATAAATATATATATTTTTGTATATATATATATATATATGTTATATATGAAAATCGTACAAATTTTATACACTTTCTTAACTAACAAATATAAATAATTTTTGGCGCGGGTTAAAAGTGAAAACAACCCAAAATTGTAAGCGTATAGAATTGTGACATGTAATCATTGCAAGGTTTAGCTTAACCATTTTAGTGTAAATAGCAATTCTTTTAAACCAATCAATAGTTACAGGTCTCTAACGGTATTTGAAAGGACAAGTAGCACGGCAATGGATTCTCCAATTAATTTTTGGATTGAAAAGATGATCATAGAGAATTTATGAAAAAGGAAACAATAGAAAAAAAAATGGAAAATTTACATAAAACACCACTTTTGAAGAATTGGATCACCCAACACTCTAGAAACGACTATCTATAAAGTATCTATTAAGCCTTATAAAGGACCATAAAAGGAAAAACAAGAAAAAGAATTTGTCTACCTTGTACACAAAGGAATTGTATTCTAATAACAATCATTCGCTATATAAGTCAAGTTTTCTCGAAACATATCTTTTATGTTTATAATATATATCCTCTATAACAACACTTCACTATAGCATCCAAAAAATATCAGAGCAGCGCGACTGTTATAGAGATGTTTGACTGTAGTTGTAACTTTACCT